AGACTCGGAAGAACTTTGGAAACTTTTTGGCCAGATGAATGGTTGAGAGTGTGAAAGAATAACCAATATTTGCAAAGTTGAAGAAAAAAGGAAAGATTTGAGAAACTGGTTCTGATCCTATTCCTATTTATTCAGAAGTTAATTTAAGTGCTGGGGACAAGATGCATTATTATAAAGAAAAAAAGAATTTATTCATTGAAAAATTCTGTTTTTTTTAGATTGGAAGCCCTTGTAGATTTGGGGGGGGGGGGAAGGGTTATTTTAGAAAAAAGAGAAAAATGTAGTTTTCAATAATTCAGAGGCGTGATTAAACTGAATAATGTTTATACTAGAGAAATTCTTACATATAGTAGGATGTATTACTATCATTAGGAAAGATGGAATTCAGTGTAAATTCCTTTTTTCTTCTGTATCTTGTCTATATATATATATATATATATATATTCTTTATTTTCTTCCTTCTCTGTCTATTTTTCCTCATTTAATGTATTGGAATTTTTATAATAATAATAATAATAATAATAATAATAATAATAATAAGTGAAGAAGTGGGTTTGAGCAAATATTTGCAGTTTCAGTATTTTTAGTACAACAACCAGAATTATGTTCAAGTGGGGCAGCAGCAACACTTCTCCATTATCTAAAAAAACCTAAAGTAGTAGAAATATTTTATTCATGCACTCAATGTTTTTTTATTTTTTTTATTACTGGAAAATATACTTGAGGTACTTCCTTTATTTTCTAATGTTTAGATTCTTTCAGTTTAATGGTTCATTTCAGATCATTAGTTTAAATAACTGTAGAAATTGGTGACTCTTTCCCACCCACTGTTTTAGTTTGGCATTCTTCATTAAGATAAATAAATGTGGCTTTTAGAGCAGTGCAGTATCTAAATTACTTACCATAATATTAATCAAAAGGTGAGAGTTCAAGATTTTAACCCCTTTCTTCCGCTTTTCCTCCATCATTTTGGTTTAGTCAATGAATAAGGGACATTGTTATAGCAATATTAAGAGGGGAAGCATGTGGTTTTCTTGTCAGAATGCTTAACAGGAATCATAGTGTTTCTCAAAGCAATTACAAATTGAGAAGTGAGACTAAATGTCAACAAGTGATTATCGTAGTAATTGAAATCGAGGTAGCCATGCTTGTGTTTGGAGATGAAGTTATTAGTGTGGCTGAAACAAAATCAAATGACGATGAGGTTATTCAGCATAATGAGAACTTTTTGTGGAGCAGAGTTCCTGGGGAGAAGCATTCTCCCATCAGAGATATTTTATAGCCACAAAATATAGCCAGATGGAAAAATGTTTAACAGGATTGTAAATACCTCATATTTTGCTTACCTTGTCTTATTTCCTTGCATTGAAGAATTCCAGCTTTCCATTTTAATCTATCTCTTAACCTAATCACTTAAGAATGACTGAAAGTCACCCAAAAGAATTTGAACTGTGTTTCTGTAGTATATTTACTGAAATGACAGTCTCGCCGAGCAGTACAGGCAAAATGTATTCAATTGCAGCATTTGTAGACTCCTTCTTCACAGATGTTCTCTGGGTTTTCTAATGCGTAATACCATCCTAATATCAATTTAAACCTCTTTAGAAATTAGAGTAACATTAAAGGTGCCATACCATGCACTTCTGTAGAGCTTAGCTCCTAAAACATTTTGACCTTTTTCTGGAATTGTGCGAAGAAAGAAAAGCATTCTACAATTATCAGATTGCACTTAGAAAAAGTGTTTTCTCTTGTGCATCTAAAATAGATAACAGCTATTCTGCAAGTTGAGATACAATCCTAGATGTTCATTGAACTAATCAAGACATGGATCTTTTAAGACTTTAAACAGCCTGAATCAAGTATGTGCATGTTGCTGAAGATTTAGAGTACCCAAATTATCATCACTATCATGATTTATATTTACACATTAGATCTCTACAAATCTTTCTCTGACTGCTCCTAAGCTTCCCCCAACACTCTCAAGAGGCTTTCTGGAAGATACAGAGAATCTTTAAAGGTGCTTATTGTGCACTAGATGCTTGCACAGCATTGGGTATAATCTATTTTATGGTGTGTATATGTGTAGACTTCTACAAATGTGGAGTACTATGTTCTTCCTTACCCCGTTATAAACTGACTAGCCACACCCTGCCACATGTTGCTGAGGCCAGTCTGGTGATCTGGAAAATAAAGTAATTAAAAAGTGTTGGTTTCTAACATATGTAATTTCTTTATGCTTGTGGATAAACAGTATTTCTTGTTGTCTCTTCGTCAGTGTTGATGTAGAGATTGTCTGGTTTGCCTACTCTGGAACATCCAACATATAATTGTCCTTCTTTAGGG